GGTGAGCTGTCAGAATATATATCTTTTGATCCATTTGCTATCTTTGACCTTGACTTTTTTGCAAATTTATTTTTGTCAATAGAATTATTAAGGCCTCGCCGAATGGCAGGTCGCCCTATAGTGATCAGTCTGTCAGTCAGTCCGTGCGTAACAAATTGTGTCCGCTCCATATCTAGAGAACCGTTATAATTTCATACTTTATACTTGACATGTATATTAACCAACACCAGAGGGTGTGTCATAAAGTTTGTACAACTTCCTACATCAAAGGTCAAGGTCAAAAACTTTGGTTTCAGTTGACAACCCCATGTCCTATGGTAAAGATACAAATTTTTTACCACATGTTATTCACAGCAGGGCTCACAGAGATGGCTCCCATCTCAATGATGTCTAGTTGCATCATGTCCCCAAGGTCTGTTTATTTTGGCAATTTTAAAATAAGCATTCTACTATAAACACAAAACTTTTATTTGTGTAGATACTGTGAAAAAAGCAAATTAGTGCAGCCAGCATAAACAATCCTGCTATTACAGAGTTTTCTTTTAACACTCAGAAAATTCCTCCTTCTAAATATAAAACAATAAGAAAGTATTGGATTTGCTTTGCTCTCAATAACATTGCAGGTCAGATGGAATACAAACACTGTAGGCTTTTTATTAAACCACAAGAAATCTATAAATGGTTCTTATTAGTCCAATGATATGGCGTGAAGACAATTCAATAGCGAAACATTCGATCATTGTTCGTATGAGCATCCCGATTGTTCATAACAGAATAAAATGAATAAAGTATCAGAGAGAACTTCACAGTTAAATTGGATTTGTTTATCGAAATCTGATTGAAGCGTTTAACTCCGGAAAACTGATGAATGAGAGAGGCAGATAGCAATGAATTTGATTATTCTGAGCTTAGTCCATTTGTAACAGTGAGTTGGTGGAGCGTAAGATGATTTGGAAAATTGATGAAATACAATGGGAAATTTTATACGCATCGGTATAACGACCTTCTTGTTCAAGTTAGAATGCGAATACCCATAAAATTAATAATGGAATTTATTATTATCTGTGTAATGAAGAGTGCTCCAATCCTTTTTATATAACTTAAGTTTTCTATAGAATAAATATGTGGTATTTTAGTGAAAGCATGTCCGTATGTAATGAAAAATCGGTATTTTACAGAAAGCATGACCATTTGTAATGAAAAATCGTAGAAGTCTGGTTTTGATTACTTATTGAGAAGTTGTCCGCTTTGTATGGGAATTATATAGATAATGTAGTATTATTTTACAGTTTATCAATAGCATGTATTTTTTAGGTCAATTGTTTAAAGTTTAGATTTTTGTGTGGTGATATTGTGACTGTATTTTTTTGATATACATGGTTTTCATTAATCCTTTATAGTTTAAAAATGTAGTATATATTTCACAGTTTATCAATGAAATGTATTTTGTTTTTTTAAGTGAATTGTTAAAAGTTTGAATATTTAATGTGTGGTCAGGTAAATAATATATCATGAGAAGATTTTTTTGGTATACATGGTTTTCATTGATCCTTTATAGTTTAAAAACGTAGTATTATTATACAATTTATCAATAAAACGTATTTTTTTAAGTCAATTGTTAAAAGTTTAAATATTTGTGTGGTGATATCGTGACTAGATATTTTTGGTATGGTTTTCATTGATCCTTTATAATTGAAGTTTTTGATTTGTATAACGAAGAAAAGATTTGTGAATTAAGTTTGGAAGATTGTACACTGACAGAAAATCGTTTCTTTGTTGAAATTCTACTTCAGGGTTAAACCAAACAATAGTCAAAGTGAAAAATTGTGAAACAAAGATTCAACCTATCCTATAGTCCTATAGTCCTATAGTCCTTATAATAGTCCTGTCATATGTCATATATGAGAAACTCCATAAGGAATGGGATCCTACACATTACAAAAAAGAAGTTACTCCCTCCCCTTAATAAATTTTAAGTTTTTAGTAACATTCTGAGGAAGTCTAGCATTAAGGATTGGAATTATTATTTGCTACTTTTTATATGACCGCAAAAAATTTTGCGGTCGTATATTGGTATCACGTCGTCGTGCGAAGACATTTGGTTTCCTGACAATAACTTTAGTATATGTAAATAGAAATCTATGAAATTTAAACACAAGGTTTATAACCACAAAAGGAAGGTTGGGATTGTTTTTGGGGGTTATGGTCCTAACAGTTTAGAAATTAGGGGCCAAAAAGGGGCCCAAATAAGCATTTTTCTAGTTTCCAGACAATAACTTGTGGAAAGGTGTAAGGATCTCTCTGAAATTAGACCACAAGTTTCCATACCACAAAGGGATGGTTAGGATTGGCTTCGGGGGTTATGGCTCAAACCGTTTAGGAATAAGGGGCAAAGAAGGGGGAAAAAAAGGGTTTCCTGGTTAATGGACAATTACTTAAAAGTACAATGTTATGTTTTGATTACCTCCCTTACACTGCTTTTAAATTATGTATAAAGAAATGTTGTATTGTCTTGAGGTGATTAGCTGTCAATTTATTTTTAGAAGTTATTATTAAAAATGCTGATTAATTTATAAGGAATATTAATTTTAGCCATGATTATGTATGTCATTTTCTATTTTAAGACTTTTATGATGTATTTGAATGGGTAATCATGGTTGCAAACTCCATTGGAAATTAGAATTGAGATTATGAACATATCTTGAGGGAAAGATATTTTTTTTTAAAAAAGGGGGGGGGGGGGGGGGGGGGGAAGTGAAAAAAAATTGTGAGGGGGGGGGGGGTGGGGTTGACAATAATTTCTCATTTCAGATTTCAGAAATTAAAAAAGAAAATTTCTTCAAATTTTTTTTTTTTTTTTTCCAAAAAAAGGGTAGGGGGCCTCAGTCAATTCGCAACAGCATAGTGTATTGCACAAAGCAAAAAATTGAATATAAATTCAAATCATAACCAATTCTAAGTTCTTTGACTACAGTTATTCTGTGTCAGAAACCTATTATGTGTCAAATATTTAATTACAATCCAAATTCAGACCTGTATCAAGCGCAAAAATTGTATCCATTTTTGCCCCAACTGTTCAGGGTTGGACCTCTGCGGTCATATCCAGCTGTGCTCGGAGAAGCAATTTATTAAATCTTACAACTAAAATTGATTGTAAGTTATATTCTAAATTCATGACTTAGAGCATTTTTTTCTCATAAGAATTTTTGTGAAATGAGTTTTTTGATATTGTGCTACTTTCATGCCACTGTCCATTTAGTGGCTTTGGGAAATATACTTTATACTCCGGATGCATGATTTTCTCACTGTGTTGAAGACCCATTGTTGCCCATGGCTGTTTTCTGCTCTTTCAAGGTCGGGTTGTTGTCTCTTTGACACATTCTCCATTTCCATTCTCAATTTTATTTAACCTATGTTCGTTCTTTTTTCTTTTCCTTCTTTTGTCAATCTGAAATCCAACTGTTGTTTGTAATTTTTTCGTTTAATATGCCTAAAGATGTCCATTTGAAATTCAATTTAAAAGTTCATAATGGTAAGTTTCAGATTGTGTTCATATTGCGTTGTTTCAAATGACCTCCTTTATACGACCCTTGATATTTGACAGCAGGAGTGACATCGTATCCCCTGACACATAAAGTTTCAACATACTCTTCAATTTTATCAGGATCTTCCATGTCTGGTTACCGATTCATTTCTCTAGTTTACTTGTCAATTGGTTTTACATGCATCATAAAAATCTGCATTAGGGTAATGAAGAATTCGGTTCTTTTGTCAAGAGTGATGAATCGACTGAATTTTCTTAGTTTTATTAGTTCAAGACAAAGTCATTTTCTCAGTGCAATTGATCAGTTTTAGAATCATACTACATTAAATCTTCTGTTATTGAATTGGAAAACAAATTTTGTGCACTGTGGTTTATTTTATTTCTGTTTACCATTAGACAAATTGCTCGTTTCTTGAATATCACAGCTGAAAAATTAAAGAAACACACTTAAATATGATATAAATCTGCTGTTATTGATATGAACATGATATTAAAAGTGATACTGTAAATTCAGAAATTATTGCGATGTTTTTATTATTGCGAAAAATGCGACAGGGTAATAATCGCAATAATTTAAACTCGCATTTTGAATTTTTTATATGAGTTAAACAGGATTTTTCTCAATATCGCAAAAATTAAAATCGCATTTTAGTCTTAAATAACAAAATCGCAATAATAAATGCACGCAATAATTTCTGAATTTACAGTATTTGTTTCAAGTTTTTGTCCCTGCCAATTTAAAATTTTGTGTTTTTGTTTGAAAAAAAAATAAAATAAATATACTTATGTAATGTAAATCTGCTGTTAGTGAACATATTTTTGATACAAGTTTTTGTCCCTCCCCATTTTTTAGTACCAGAGTGTGGCACATGTTGTTTTGTAACATTTCAATTTCATGTTCAACATACAATAGTTTTCAATGATATGAGTTTCAGTTAACACTATGTTTAATGAAGTTATTCCTGCTAGATTGAAAATCATTGTTATATATACGATGTTATATAAGGTATCTTTAATGTTGAACTCATATATAATACTACTGGGGGTGTTAAACGACCTTGACTACCCATGAGGGTCTCGCACGGTCGGTACTCATAATAGACGTGTACATTCTCTGGAGTTTGAGTTAAAACCACATGACATGATAATCATTTTAATGCACCTGTATAAAAATAAGGAGATATGGTATGATTGCCAATAGACAACTATCCACCAAATAGCAAATGAAGCAACTTAATATAGATCACCATATACATGATAAATATATGGCTGTCAAAAATGAGCTAAACCCATACAGATAATTTGTAAAAAGCCTTGACATGAAAAAATGTAAAAAGATTAAAACCATACAACTACTAACCTGATTTGTAATGAAACAATAAACAATAAGCAGGTATATATATATATATATATATATATGTATATATTTTATAAGTAATTTCTTTTTTCTTTACAGGTAAACAAAGAACAGTGCGATCCCCAGAGCTACCAGGTAACGATTAAGGCCGAAAAATTTACTTTTTTTCTCAAATACACAACTTACTCTTTAATAGTTCCTCCTACCCTTAACTTGTTTCTATTGATCATCTTTTCTTAAAATTTGCAGAAGAGAGAAATATTATAAGTTTATTTGTCCAAAATTGATTGATTGTTTAAAATCCAGTTGCAAATATTTCATTTATATCCAGGATGTAAGTATTGCCCATAACATCTTTGTAACACATTGAGTAATGATGCTATAGTAGACTTACTTATTTAGCATGATGCAATACTTCCCCAAGACACTCAAAAGGTCAAGTTGAATCCTGATTTATATCAGTGTCAATAATGGGAAGGGTAAAGGTCACCTGCAACCTGAAAGGTTAATTTACGTAAAAAGTAAATGCAATTCATAACCATTACTTACTGTTGATTCATTATTAAGTCTCCCAAACGAAGTTTGGGAAGACTTATTGTTTTTGCTCAGTTCTTATTATTATTATTCTTCTTCTTCTTCTTCTTCTTCTTCTTCTTCCGCCGCTTTTAAATTTGAACTTGTCCGCACCCGTTCTCCAAAACCGCTTGTCAGATTAACTTAGGGTTTCACAATATGTTAGACTAACATTTCTAGTGGTGCAATCAGGGTTTTGTTTGTGCAATGGGGTTTATAAAGGGGTACTTTGAGGGGAAAAAAGAAAAGAGGGTTTTACTATAGAACCCTATGGGATTTTATTTTTTAAAATGTTCAAATGATTATAAATTGAAAACCGTTTGTGATAGACACAATCTTTTTAATTGAAAATGTTCTAAATGATAAAGCCCATTAAATGAAATACAGGGTTAGTCCCCAGGGGTCAGCCCCACCCCCTGCCATTTAAGAAAGTTCTAATACCTTGTAAGTGGTCAAGATCCCCTACCCTAAACCATATATATTTTGGTTTGTCATGCTAAGATGGTTTGAATGATATACAGGGTTAGTCCCCAGGGGTCATCCCGACCCCCTGCCATTTGAGAAAGTTCTAATATCTTGTAAATGGTTGAGATCCCCACCCCTAAACCATATATATTCTGGTTTGTCATGATAAAGCACATCAAATAAAATACAGGGTTAGTCCCCAGGGGTCACCCCCACCCCCTGCCATTTAAGAAAAATCTAATATCTTGTAAATGGTTGAAATCCCCACCCCTAAACCATATATATTCTGGTTTGTCATGCTAAGATGGTTTGAATGATATACAGGGTTAGTCCCCAGGGGTCATCCCGACCCCCTGCCATTTGAGAAAGTTCTAATATCTTGTAAATGGTTGAGATCCTCACCCCTAAACCATATATATTCCTATTTGTCATGTCTGGAACATTTGAATGACGTATACAGTCAGTCCCCAGGGGTTCCCCCCACCCCCAATGTTCTAGTATCTTGTAAATGGGCGAGATCCCCACCCCTAAACCATATATATTCTGGTTTGTCAGGCGAAGATGGTTTGAATGATATACAGGGTTAGTCCCCAGGGGTCATCCCGACCCCCTGCCATTTGAGAAAGTTCTAATATCTTGTAAATGGTTGAGATCCCCACCCCTAAACCATATATATTCCTATTTGTCATGTCTGGAACATTTGAATGACGTATACAGTCAGTCCCCAGGGGTTCCCCCCACCCCCCAATGTTCTAGTATCTTGTAAATGGTCGAGATCCCCACCCCTAAACCATATATATTCTGGTTTGTCATGCCAAGATGATTTGAATGATATACAAGGTTAGTCCCCAGGTATCACTAATGCATATAACTTTACTGGACCAAACCAATTTTCACTGGACGTTGCCCAATGTCAGGCGACCCTGGGAATTACGAATTATGGGAGCTTCGTTTGGGAGACTTCGTAACAGCATCCTGTTACAATCATTTCTTGTTATTCATGAGATGCAAATTTTCGTCAATTTCGTAGGTAATGGTTAACTACGAATTAAAACATTCAAATTTAAGAAGTACACATTTTTGATAGGCTCATATGCAGACTATGGCAAAACCATGAATTCAAAATATCATAGAAAATATTATTTTTCTCCAATCCACAAAAATTGGTACAAGAGAAAATAAATGAATCTGATTTTGTATCAAACTAAAGAATTGAAAACTTTTATGGTAACATACTTGGAAATCCGCTGATTTTTTGGACTTAAGGACCTATCTATTTACAGTGTCCTGTCAGTTTAAGTGTGATGATGGCTCAGATTGTATACCAGAGTCTTGGACTTGTGACCAAACTGCTGACTGTGTGGATGGTAGTGATGAAAAACAGTCAAAATGTAAGTATCATAGGGCTCCATAGGAGGGGGAATACTTGTTTATCTCTGTCTGTGTGTCCATCTGTCTGTAACACATTTCTGTTGCATTTTTCTCAGCCACTAAATGTTGTAGTTTCTTTGGTGACACAATGTCATTTGACACATTTTCAGTTCCATTATCTACTTCCTGAAAATGTTTGCCGAAATATTTGTTAAAAGAGAGAAAAAAGATACCAAAAGAATATTCAAATTTGTAAGTAAATGACAAACTGACATACCATGGTAGTAAACGAATAAATAATCAAAAGACAAAAAACAACATAGAAAACTAAAGACTGAATTACATGAATCCCACATAAATCCAGGGGTGATCTCTGGTGCTCTGAACAGATTAGAAGATCCTAATTCACATGTGACACTTAAAAAAATATGTAGATAAGTCATATATAAAGTGATGACATCACACAACTGTGATCTTATCACTCTGTTTAAACCACAAAATAAAGACAACAATATTGAGCACTATCGGTATATTTAGTAAGTGATAGCACACAGTACATCATTTTAATTATTGCACCATTTAGTGTACAAACAGAACACAACTGTGACAATATAGAATAAAAACCAACTGTTTGTCCCAAAATAACTACTGTAAATTCAGAAATTATTGCGAGGTTTTTATTAATGCGAAAAATGCGACTGCATGAGTATTGCCTTAATTAGAAGTCTCATTCTGATATCTGATACAAACATATGTAAGCTGATTTCCTATAATTGTAATAATTAATCTCACATTTTTGTCCATTCTTCCAAAATCGCAATAATAAAAATATTAATGCGCGCAATAATTTCTGAATTTACAGTAGTCACAATTGAAATATATACCAACATTTTATGACAAACGTTAAACTTTGACTATCATCCACTGTAAATATTTTGTAGGTAACAAAAGAACAAGAAGGTCCACAGACAATGGTATGTATTGACTTGTATGGAGGGTAATAGTATTGTTGTTATTGACCAGTAAGTATGGAAGGTGATAACAGTGTTGTTATTGACTAGTAATTATGGAGGATGATAGTAATTTTGGTATTGACCTAGAATAAGGACAATATTATGATGATAATTAAAAAGGGTTATAGTGGGAAAATTAGTAATGTTGACATTTATTTGTAGTATTCTGTAATTTAATATCTTTATGTATGCACATTATGATTAACTAATTCTGATTTATTCATTTGTATTGTCAGTTTTTTCGATCATTTGTTAGTTTTATATCTGATCGTGTTGTGTGGGAGGTTGCGACCTGTCTAAGTCAAACCACAGGCCTTTTTTAAATTGTTACTTCCTTCGCACAGAGCAATAAGAAGTAAGAGCAAAGACTGGTGGGCTCAGGAGTCAGAAAAGAGTCCAGGTAGAGTCAGTGACAATGTCTTCCTGCAGACTGTTAACTTGTGAAATTGAACCTTAAAAATCTAACTCAATGGTTCATGAGTAGGGCTATATTACAATCAACTTGTCCGTATGTGTGCGGTCTTTTTATCCATTCATTTGTCCAACAAATATTTCCATCATGACTTCATTACTATTTTGTCAACAGCTTGACAGTTACGAGATGTAATGTGTGAGTGCTATTCAGATTTGTCAGACACCAACTTTCTGTTTTCTGGATACTTTGAGTAGTGAGTGGGGAATGCTTAGCCAACAATGGCAGATCCTTGTTTGTATCCACGATTTTAGTACATGTATAATACTTTAACACACATATAATATCATATATTTATTTGTTGTGTAGATCTAGATAATTCACTTGATCATTCATTTCAACCAATCATCAGTAAGTATAATAGTCACATGTTCATAACACTCTTGATAATTCACTTGATCATTCATTTCGACCAATCATCAGTGAGTATACTAGTCACATGTTCTGACAGTTCATAACACTCATTTGTATTGATGTCAATCCTTCACTTACTAACAAATGAAAAAAAAGCATTCCAGCAGATAAAAATATTGTCTGATTGCATGTGCAGTTATCTAATTGTGTTTATTTCATTCTTACTTAGATCTTTAAACCTTATAATTAAAACCTCACACATCACCTACCCTTTAAGTTTTACTTGCACATGTATCCTAAGGGCAAAGTCAAAATAAATGGTTCCTTGCATATAAAGCAATATTTATAAATCATGCTGATCATTTGATTGAATAAATTAATTTCAAATGATGTGGCTTGATGTGTAGAATAATCCTGCAAAATATCTTTGGAAAATCTGAAGTATTGAAAAAATGACGTTAAAAAAAGATGCCAAAATTGTCAGGAGTGCAACACTTTTTTGTGACATTTTGAAAAAATACTTTTTTATTAAGACACAGCAAATTTTTGTATGGAGGAATGTGCCTTAAATTCTTCTTTATATTACAACTATTATATCTTAGTGATGATTTCAGCTCAGAATGAAGCTTTTCCATTGAACCGTTTTGATACAGAAGTGTTTTGAAAAAAAGTTGTGCCATGTCAGGAGTGCAACACAAAAATTAGTATTACTGAGGAATAGAATGATTTTTGCTTAAATGGCTCACACCTAAACATAAACAAAAGTCAATCCTGTAAAACAAATATGTCCTTTCCAGAATAAATAGTTCATTTACCTGATTATTGATATAAATAATGTGTGAGAGTCAAGTATATAAGCCTCCCTGTAAGGGTCAGGAGTGCAACTTTGAAGTTTAAAGACTCACACTGAAAAAATACAAAAGCCATTATATGGTTCTGTTTTATTTTTCAAAAGATACTATACTACATACAAGATTGCACCCAAAGAGTAGCCTGATAGACGAGGAATTATTCTTTTAGAACCATTTATTTGATGTCAGGAGTGCAACAGTTTTAAAATGACATTTTCTTGGACTTACATTTTAAGATAATCTCAGCTCCTAGTGACTTATTTGCATCTAAACATGTTTTCTAACTATTTAGGTTAGATGTATGAGTTAAAATAAATTCTTAAAGGTAAATTTCAAAGCAAGACTTTGATCCAAGAATTATTGTTTGTCACAAGCAAAAATATTTGAATGTTAAATTTTCATATTATTTTCAAATTATGGAAGCTAATTGTCTTAAACTTTGTCTTTTGATTAGGAAATAACCATATTTCAATTTAAAAGTTTGATAATGGTTTCATGTAATACTAATTAAACTATTATAATTGTTATAACAAACAATTAATTTTGTTGCACTCCTGACATGAATTATCCATAACAAGCCGTTTTGCACATTTTGAGTTCAACTTTAAGACCCAACCTTTGAATGAATGAAAGATGGGAAAGATGGTTGTGAAACTAAACTTTAGAATAAAATCAGACAGGCTAAGTGCATACAAACACACCATCATAGTCAACAACAACTTCAACTTTGAGGAGTAGAAAATTGAGAAAAACACTGAAATAAGATCCAAATCTGAAGGACAAACTAGACAAATATAAACAAAGAAAGAACAAAGAAAACAAAACAATGTAAAAGAAAAATTAAAAAGACTTAGACCAGAATTAAAACACATATGAGAAAATGAAAACAAAACAGAGACAGTGGCAACAGAAGAGAAGAAGAAAATTGACACAAGCTAAAAAAAGTTGCAAACCAGCAGAAAATTGTCCAGTCAAGTAGAGTAGCAAAAGTACAGATGCATATACAATACCTAGAGAAATCAGAAAGAGAAGTCAAAGAATAAGACATTATCTTCCTGACCATCCCAAATCTTGGGCTTAAACAATTGGGCACATCATATCCACAGCTACACCAAGGTGGTTGTCAGAGTAAATGAGAACTGATATCAGCTGTGTGCAAGAAATTGATGAGTCTTGAACATGTTGAAGTATAACCAAAGTTGAGGAACCCCCAAAAGATCTGAAAACTGTTGAAAAGAAAATGGCATTTTCAAAGAGTCCCTTAGTTCTAACTTTTTCAGGTAGCCTCTATTCTTTTTAAAAATGGCAGTTTCTTTTCAACAGTTTCCAGATCTATTAAGGGTCTCTCAATTTTGTTTCCACTTCGGCACCCATCAATTTCTAGCACACTTCGATCAGTACTGATTAGTTCTTACAACTGCCTTGGTGTAGCTGTGGATATGATGTATTCAATTGTTTTAGAGCAAGGTTTGAGTTGGTCAGGAAGAATTTTCCCTATACTTTGTCTTCTCTTTCTGATTTCTCTAGATATTGTATCTGCACCAGTACTTTTGCTTCTCGACTGTACATTTTTCTGTGGGTTTGCAACTTTTTTGGCTTGTGTCAATTTTCTTCTTCTTTTCTGTTGCAAATTTCTTTGTTTTGTTTTTTTCATTTTCTCCATCTGTGTTTTTGTAATCAGGTTAAGTCTTTGTAATTAAGTTTTACATTGTTTAGTTTTCGTTGTTCTTTCTTTGCTTATATTTGTCTAGTGTGTCCTTTAGGTGGATCTTCTTTCAGATTTTTCTCAATTTTCTGCTCATCAAAGTTATAGTCGATGTTGACTTTGATGGTGTGTTTTGATCCCTTAGTCTGTCTGATGTTCTTCTCAAGTTATTTCAGTATGATCAAATATCTTTCCCATCTTTCATTCATTCAAAGGTTGGATCTGCAAGATGAACTCCAAATGTGTGAGACTTTAATAAAATAAAAATATTGAATCTGTGCAAAACTGCTTGTTATGGTAAATTCATGTCAGGATTTCAACAAAATTAATTGTTTTGTTATTACAGTTATAATAATTTAATTAGTATTACATGAAACCATTATAAAACTTTTAAATTGAAATATGGTTATTTCCTAATCAAACGACACAGTTTATGACAATTAGCTTCCTAAATTCTAAAATTATATAAAAAATCATCATTCGGATATAATTGCTTGTGACAAACAATATCTTTTGGATCGAAGTCCTGCTTTGAAATTCACCTTTAAGAATATATCATACATGTAGCCTAAATAGTAAGAACACATATTTGAAGGCAAATAAGTCATAAGGAGCTGAGATTATCTTAAAATGTAAGTCCAAGAAAATAACTTTTTAAAACTGTTGTACTCCTGACATCAAATAAATGGTTCTAAAAAAAAATCCTTGTCTATCAGGCTACTCTTTGGGTGCAATCTTGTATCTAGTATAGTATCTTTTGAAAAATAAAAGAGAACAATATATTGGCTTTTGTATTTATTAAGTGTGAGTTGTTTAACTTCAAAGTTGCACTCCTGACACTTATAGGGAGGCCTTATTTACTTGACCATCACACATTTATATCAATAATCGGGTTAATAAAGTATTTATTCTGGAAAGGACATATTTGTTTTACAGGGTTGACTTTTGTTTATGTTTAGGTGTGATTCATATATTCAAACATCATTCTATTCCACAGCTGTACTAATTATTGTGTTGCACTCCTGACAGGGCAATACATTTTTTTCAAAACATATCTGTATCAAAACGGTTTAATGGACAAACTTCATTTGTAACTAAATCCATCACTAAGACATAATAGTTGTAATATAAATAAGAATCTATGGGACATATCATCATATTACAAGTTGCTGTGTCTTTATAAAAAAAGTATTTTTTCAAAATGTCACAAAAAAGTGTTGCACTCCTGACAATTTTTGCTTCTTTTTTTATTGTCATTTTTTTAATACTTGAGATTTTCCAAAGATATTTTGCAGGATTATTCTACACATCAAGCCACAAAATTCGGCCCATTTTAACATTGCAAAGACTGCCGTTTTAAAAAAAAAGTAGCGAAATGTGATGAGACGTGAACTTATGTATACAATAAGTGATATGTATGATATAGTTCAAAAATATTGTTTAAATGAAATTAAAATGTTAAATCTGAAAGGTATATACACTTAATCTAGAAATCATGGGCTTTTTTGATGATGTATAACTGTTTTGATATGATATATATTGAATGTCAGGAGTGCAACAAAATAGGAGAAATAAAGTT